TTGTTCCTATTCATTTCTAATGACCAGAGTCCATGTCACGTGATCGCAAACTTTCCCAGTGAGAAAAAATAACATGGCGGACACCCGATTTATTTTTAGTGGAAATCCTAATTTGTAGGATAGTTTGGCCATTCAAATGCTTTTTGATTACATTTCTGGCGAGAAGTTTATATTGTACTTTTAAAATCTACGTCCAGTGGATGTGCAGGATCCATACTTTGATAGATATTACGAAGATTATTTTAGCCCCATGTTTTTTTTCTCTAAAATATTGTATCCATGTCACGTCTTTTGTTGTGAATATACTACGTTTTGCCCTGTCGACCACCGTAGCTATTACACGTTATTTGTGAGACTAGACGGTTATGGCTAGAAAGGATCCGTCTAATGTAAATATGACGTCACGTTCTCGTTCTAACTCTCGTTGTAATCGGAGCGGCTCGGCTGTAATCGGAAAGGGTCGGGGTGGGCAGGACGCGGGAAGATCGCGGGAAGATCGAGAAGAGACGTCGTTCTAACTCTCGTTGTAATCAGAGCAGTGGTAACCACTCAAAGTCCTCAAGAGATAGGAAACGACAGCAGTGTGGGACCTTATTGCGGGAAATTACTGAGCACACATACCACCTACAGGATGAGACGTTCATGTGTACAGTGATATCAAGACTAAATGATCTTTTGGAGGACGTAAAGCAACACACCCCACATGACAGTAGTCTTCCTCTCACCTTCACGCCCCCCAAACACAAAAGGCAGAAGAGGACCATAACACCTCTCAGTACCAGCCATCGTAGACACCCTTTTTCAGGCCGGGTGGGTCATAAAGCTGAGGTCATGAGATCCAACTACAGAGTGGACAGCTTGAACAAGATTTTAAAAGCTAAGTCCCCAGAGTCTAATGCGGGAGGAGCAGGCAGGGGTACGAAGAGGAGGATAGATGCTTTAGGTAAAAACAAAGTATATTTACTTTTGCCATCTCCTCTATATTCACAAAACACAGCCAATCATCCATTCCAATCCTATGTGACATGGCACAGTTCATTTCACTCCAATAGAAATTGGTATAAAAGAGACCATTAGTCTTCTCATTGTGCTTATTGCTGTGGATAGGTGTGAACTATTGTTGTTGTATTGTATCATATCAAAAGTTGTTTTCATCCAAGGCACCACCGCCAGGTGAATGTTGGAAGCTTGGAGATGAATGGAGCTGTAAAGAGGTGGTAAGTAAAACAACGTTTTTAATCCATTGCATGTGATTTATGTAGTTATAAAAAGTATATCATAAGCTGTCATTACAGTCTAAATATCTAACAGCAAAAGGAGGAGAGTCTGAGGAGGAGAGGAGATGAGGAGAACAGAGGAGAGGAGACAGCAAAAGGAGGAGAGTATGAGGAGAGGAGAACAGGAGAGGAGAGGATACAGCAAAAGGAGGATAGTCTGAGGAGAAGATGAGGAGAGGAGAACAGAGGAAACAGGGAAAGCAGAGTAAAGAGCAGAGTTGAAAGAGAAGTTGAAAGCAGAGCAAACAGTAGCAGGAGAAGTAGAGCAAATGTAAAAGTAACTTTGAAAAGTATCAGCAAGAAGATCAGAGTTGCATAATGTTATTTTTTTTTATTCGTTACTGTTATATTAATGTTGTATGTTAATTTTTGTACATAGGATAATGAAGATGATCTTAACCTTGAACTTGATTCATGACCTCATTTCATTATTAAAACCTTAATATCAAATTACAGACTGGATTCAAATTAGGATCTCCAAATGTGTTGATGTAATGTTTGTGATAAACTGAAGGATAAAGTGTTCCTTTATGTGCTGAGAAAATTCCCCTCCCTCTTAAGCCAAGTAAGGTGTTTAAAAAGCCTCTTGGATCAGCTGGAAAATGCATCATCACAAAGCTGAAAACAGCTGTTTCACTTTACTTTTGAAAGATACGACAGAGACAAAGCTACACATATATGATGATATTATAGAATATGATGCATTGCTGCAGATTAAACTACCCAACGGGATATAAAAGAGGTAAACAAATCTACAGCAGTAACATGCAACATACATTTTATTGCACCAGGAGCTATCTTGGGACTTTAACTGCAACAACGTTGACTTGCCTGTGAATACAAAATAAACCATAGTGTTGCTGATCTACAGTGTTGTCATTCTTCTTTCAACAGCAAGACCGCTAACAAGTATTTACATACTTAATATAGTTTAGTTTCTCGCCATCCCAAACGTAAACATTCAGCCACGTGACTGCGCTTCCGAGCCGCTCCGATTACAACCGAGCCGCTCCGATTACAACGAGAGTTAGAACGAGAACGTGACGTCATATTTACATTAGACGGATCCTTTCTAGCCATAACCAAGGAACCGGAAGAAGTTTACTTCCGGGTTTTACGACGCGTCACTGCGGTTCTCTATACCGTTGGGACTGGAACAAGAAAGCATTGGAGAAGTAACGGGGCAGAAGCCCTCCTTTTTGACGCAGCGGTCCAGACATAGACATCAAACGGCAAAACATATTCAGTGTGCAGTTCCTTTGGCATTAGGGCAGGGATATCTAAGCTGTGTCCCAATTCAGCGGCCGCATCCTCCTGAGGATGCATTCGGAGTCCGCATGCATCCTCCTGAGGATGCATGCGAGTCCGCATACGTCACTTCCGCCAAACGAAGGCTTCGCGTCGGGCCGAACCACGCCCCTTAGCTGTGATATAATGAGCATATACCACGGCCTGTCGTGAGCTATTGCTTAAATATTTTGTCATGGCTTTCAATTCTGCCTTTAGCCTTTAGCTTGGAGAATCACTAAAAGTTCAAGAAAATAAATGTAGGTTTGTTATTTTTCACATTGGTTTAAAGCAGATTATGTGTCCATTATGATTAGCAGATGAAATACAAAATAAGAAAAGCATCAACAAAAAATTGCAGAAAAAACGTGTTTTGTTTTACATATTGTATTTATATTCTGTGATTGTAGATTTGAAAAGGCTTGATAGCTATACATTTATATTAAGGTCATATATTTATATATATATAACAAATAATGGAATATGCATTATTAGAAATGTAAACAACACAACCTCATATATTTTATGATTAATAATATTGCATGGCCTTTTTTCCTCAGTGAGTGACTAATAAAACCCTAATATTTGTATAGCCCGCATGCAAACAGCAGACGTTTTTATTACTTCAGGAGAACATTTTTCAAGTCATCATTGTTATGCAGACATCAAAGTTAAAAACTAATTTAACATTTAAAAAAAGCTGTATAACATAAAACAATATAATCATCTGCTTTAAGATTAATAGACTCTTCTTTAAAAAGAAACGTTGTCTAACCAAGCAGGTCACCTAAGAGCATGTTCTTGTTTACAGTGACAGCCCCTCGGGTCCAAAACAACTGGCTGAGTGACAGTTTTGTCAAAATACTTTAGGAGGAGTTGGGTTTGCTCCAAGAAGTCGATGAACTGTTCTGTCAAACTGTGAGGCTTTGTTTCCCATTTTGCAAATGGTGCTATTTTTATGGCACGATGTCCGTGTAATAATGGGTGGGTTAAGTATGTGAATATCCCTTCATCATTATATTCAATCATTTCTAAAAGTAATGCAATTTTATTGTGAATCCGGGAAGATGTTATTATTATCAGATAAAAGATACTACAAAATGCTAAAAGACATATTATAGCACAGCTACTGTTACATATATTTTACTAATACAGATATGATCCAATACGGATCATTTCACCAATAATTGAAAAACAGTACACACATAAGGTGTAGCACCATGCTAGAATATTTTTAAGATATATGTTTTTCATTACTTTTTAAAAATAAATAAACAGCAGGAGACATTAATATGTGATTTTGTGAAGCACTACACTGTTATTCAATATTTCCCACAAAGAATCACCAAAATTATTCAAAAGTATATTTTAAAATGATTCAAAAGCATAAAAGCCTTAGATACTAATATGACTACAAAGTGAAACAAGAATTTTTAACCTGGCTTTATCCAAAGTTCAGATTTCGATTCCTGAAATGTGTTAAAATATGCACATATTTGATGAGATAATGGCTAATTTGCATATTTAAACATGCTATTTCAGAAAACTTGTAATACAAAAGACAATTGCCTTATTGTAAGTAATTAACTGGAGAGATTTCTAGCTGATACCTTTAAGTTAAAAAAATTACCCTATTCACCTGGGGTGTCTCGCCTTAACTTTGTATTTTCACGATAGCTGAAAATGCTAGAACAGACCTTTGCATACAGTCTATCTATGGAACCTCTGCTCTGCGGAACTGATTATCTGCCACCATGTCTACCCGGACAACAATAACAAACGGCATTCACTGCGCTTCCGTTGCCCATGACACCGGGGCGAAGTTCTGACAGCTGATTCCCCAATCAGTTTAAATCCACTCCGAGTCCCAAATAATCACTTTTTAAAGTTATTTACAGTCCGACGTGTCTCCTATAACCTCCGGCTGGAGTCACAGACAGCGCCTTGAACCGAGGAGTGCGGATTATTATGGTGTAGCAAGGGGCGCTAGCTCTGAGACAGAAGGTAAAACACAACGCTCAGAAAACACACAAGCTAACACCGACTAGCACACATACTTCATCAACAACTCGCGTGCGACTTCACTGAATCAAAACGAAGTGACATGTCCTTGTGCACTCAAGCACACGTGCGGAAAATAAGCCTTAGCTGATACTGTTTTAAAGCTTAGCTAGCTGTTATAAGCTGCAGTGTTAGCGGTTTGTTATTGCAGTGGGTTAACGAGTTAAAAAGTAAAGTGACGAAGCTCTAACTTTACCTTTTAAAAGTGTTTACATTAGCATTAATAATCCTGTTAGCTCCGCAAAAGGTGTTGTCGCGAGGAATACGCACTTTTACGTGTTTCAGTATCGAGTTAGCTGTACTAATTTTGTCCACCGTGAGTTACAGGGTGTATTTATTTACAGAGCAACTACACTTAGCATCACTCTACCAATGTATTCTTTATATTGGTTATATAAATAAGCTTGACATACTGTTCCAATGTGTGTACACTTGTGTGGTAGAGCCAGTGTACTTTAGTCTGATTACACAGCAGATCTTTCATTATTGTATTTGCTAGTTGTACAAGCCTATTTTTTGGTTCTGCTTCATGGCTCTGCCCCTACCCCTGCAGCTACTTGACTAACATCCAGGTACTTTGTGTCAGTGAGCCACAGGCCAGGGTGCAGTGACTGACAGCTCAGGCTGCTGGGCTGTGAGTCAGACTCAGTGACACACATTTGATGGCTCTCTGATACCTGATGCCTTCACCCTTTGCTGCTTCTGCTCCCCAAATGAGCTCCCCCCGGTGCTCACTGGACACACAGTCATCAGAGATGTTAGTGATCTGCTCCCGTAGAAAGGTTAAAAGACCTTATTCTGCACCACCACTTGCAATGTTAAGTGTAATATTGGGCTGAAAAATTAAGGAAACAGGATAATACAGCAGATGTGCATTGATGACTGACACAAGCAGTGTGTCAAACAGTACATTTCTTTGGAAGAAATTATGTCCCAGCACCAGGCAAAGAGGTTGCAGACTTCTTTGAAAGCTTGAAATTCCCTGAAAGTAGTGGCCATTTATTGGTGATTTTATATGTTCACATACTGTACCCTGTTTGTTTCTATTTGTCTGTGTGTCCTGATCCATTTATATAAAAACCTGTCTGAAAATTAGACTTTGGCCACTTTGTGATGTCACAATGTTTTTTTGGGTTGTGCAACCAGTAGCCAATAACTAACCAAGGTAACACCCATCTTATCACCTGAGTCTCCTCCTAGATCACCATTGTGTTCTTTTAAAAATAACACTCCTCATAGGGGTGTGGCAGTTCATTTGCAATTAAAGCTACATATACTGAATCAGCACTTTTGAAACAAGGCTGAAACAGAGGGGATTATGGGATGGGATTATGGGAACACATGATCTGTGTGTATTTCAAACCAAACACTTCACAGACATGTTTTGTAATATCTGATACCCATAATATATTGTTGAAAAAAAGTATAATAGGGGACCTTTAAATGATTCTGTTATTAATTAATTCAAAAAGAATGAATACCAAATGTTGATACATTATCTTTCCCAGGCTTAACCTGAAATAGATTTACAGTTTTACAGCAACTTCCAGGACATGTCAAGCTTTCAAAAACATTGTTTAACAGTAAGACATTTGCAAGGTGTGAATATTTTCATCTTTCAGTTTAAAATGTCAAACATACAGTATATGATGGCTTCCTGCTTAGTGTCTAATAGGGAAGTTGGAAGATTCATGATGTTGAAACACTCTTTTGTCCTCTACTACTCTGCTGTTACCGTTATCTGCTGAATATCATGCAGTGTGGCCAAATTGCTGTTAATTTTCAGTTCTGATGCTTGTCACTGTAGGCTGCCTTCTGCCAGATAAATTAAATTTTTACGATATATTTATCTATTTTCCGGCAGATGGTCTAAATGTAACTCTTTAAACATATATTGCATTCATTTTATTTGTCATAGAGAATAGAGAAAATTGTTATTGCTGTGGTATTGATCGCCTCAGTTTCTAGCTGCATGTAGTCTCATATTGAAGTCCATAACTCTTTTGGCACCACACGTCTTTTCTTAACGGGGAGTCCTAATTGCAATTGACTCCTCTAATCGATGTGGAGCTCTCAATTATACCACCGTAATTAAATGTTGTCATAGCTGTTAGTTTATTGCTATAGGAAGTAAAGGAAGCAGTATAATAAGACCTCATTATTTCCCTGTGTCTTGCTCGTTAAACACTTGCTATTTCTGTCCCTATTACACCTTTGCCTATATGAGACCAGGTTAGTCTGAATATGCATGATTGAAACGCTGAAACTTAATGTAGAATTACAACATGATGTGATTTTAAGATCTATAATTTAACAGCTAAGCTTTGGCCTTATAGTATGTATAACATATGATGTACCTGAAAGACCCTTTCCTTGCTCTATTGTTGTTTTCATCCATCCAGCTTTGAAGTATCTATATCTGCTTAATCTGTGCAGTGTCATGAGGGCTGAAGTTGTCAAGCTGTCAAATCAAGACCAAGCCCCAAGGCAGAGAGCAGGGCTTTGAAGTATATTTTCTTAATAACAAAACAGTGGTACTGCAACTTCTGTGATATCATAGGGTCAAAAAAGACTCCTTCCCCTTGAATAAAAATGTGAAAGGGACGTCTGTATATCAGCATATCATTCTCTTGAGATAAATCATCTTCACAGTACGAACTTTTGAAAAGCCCTCATTTCAATTATTAGGTTCTAAAGCTGTGAAATGCGCTACAGCTGAATCCAGTTATTTTCCAATAATTGGACTGAGCCGAGACCGACTGTGACTGAGTGGATTGGAGCCGGGCCTAGGGAAAACTCAAGTGCTTACGTGCTTACGCTGAATGGGCCCAATACATGCGTAAGATTGCTGGAAGGTCCATGGAAGATCCCTTTTTTTCTTGGGAGAGAAGAGAGTCAGGCCATTTTACATTAATTTGCCACTGTGAATCGAACGGGCCCTGCCTCTAACGCTGTATGTAACCTATGGTCTACTCTAGATAGACGACAAATGAAATGCAATACAGTTTGAAATGTAGATTTCACAGTTTACCTTGTGTGCACGTCTTTGTTGTAAGAGAGTAAGCCAGAAGAGATATTGAAATGATTATTGAAACTCATTATGTTTCCCCCCCCCCATTTGTTCTCCATTGACTGATGTATTATCTATGTTCCTTCTGATTGTCAGGCTTTTAGCAGCATAGTGCAGCGGTGGGCAGACCGAGGCAGAACATAGCAGCGCAGCCATGCTTACGTTGGCCAGTAAGCTAAAGAGAGACGATGGAGGGAAGACGGGCCGTGCCTCCGGGGCCTCCGACTCCACCCACAGGGTCTCCATCAGGGACCGCCTCCTTACCAAAGGTACCGGTATTTTGTCAGCTCGAATAATGAAAACAAAACAGACACATATTTGGGGATTTACTCCAGGTCAATAACGTTTTTTTTTGGTTGTTTTCAATACAGGAATATACATTTTCACGCTCCTCTTCCTCCATGAATGTCCTGTTCCTTTTTCTACATTTCTATTTCTCTCTTTTCATTTCTTTTCACTCTGTCCATGTTTTTGCCTCTTGCTCCGTCTGTTTTATTTATAGGTATTTCTAGTTGCCTTGGGAGGCAGCTCCAACACATCTGCCTCCTCTCTCTGTCCCTTTACATTTTAAAGGACTGTCCTTATCCTTTTCAGCTTTTAGCTCTATTGTTTTGTCTTGCCTCATGTTTACTCTCTTCTGGATTATCACCTGTATTTGTTTTAGTCTATACATTTACTTAAACAGATACTCCATTGGAGCGACTTATTTTTCCTTAGGTACTGAGGTAAGGTTTTGGTTAAAGGTCAATACAGTTCTTAGACAGGAAAGTGCTTAATGAGCTGGCTTGGGACCAGCACTTCATACAACTCAAGCTAAGGTTGCCAGGCTTTTAGTAATTTCTGTTTAAGTATAACACCATAATACGTCATGTGCATTTTTTGTTTTACTTGTCTTTCCTGCTCTTCCAGGAAACACACTATTATCTCAATCTGTTTTGAAAAAGCAACTGATACTGTATCCGTTTGTCGCTCCTTAATTATGATTCTTTCTTTTTCTCTCTACAGAAGTTTCAGAACTTGAAGCCCATCTCCCTAGTAAGTATGCTATTTGTATTGAATTATTATGTTTTTTATTGACCAAGAATACTGCATAAAAATACAAAAGAGAAAATATTATATTTGCCAGATTTCAGCTAATAGCTAATTACCATCTGCAGCCCCTGGTCAAGTGCGTTACCAGTAACATGCCATACACACTGATTTTTGTTTTTGTTGAGTCAGACACATTCTTTCTGCTTTTTCTATCAAAATAGCACAAACTTTGGAATGTATCACTTCAATACACTGCATTTACTATCAGCACTGATTTGACCTCGACAAAAAAAGGTGGCAAACTTATTTTCTAAAATAGGCCTTATATTGTTTGTATTTATCCGTCCACGTCCGAACTTTTCATTTAAGGCTATTCAGTCTGAATTATTGACTGATTTAAAAAAAATACATAGGAGATACAGTGGTGCAGTGATGATGTATTTTTGTAGGCTGATGAATTTGAAATGAAGTTAGCATCGCAACCTTGACAATAAACAATAGGCGCTTTCACACTTTTCCCACAAAGGTTCATCAGAACTTAGTTCATGAGAATCCTTTAGTTCTCATGAACTAATTTTAGTTCCGGATTTCGGAACTAAAGTGGGAAAAGTACTGCGGTGTGAAAGCGCCTAATGGGATCTTTTGGGGGGACATTTAGATACTAATCACAATATTTAAAGCGTAGCTGCAATAACCTAAAGAAAAAAACGTTTAATGTCCGACGTCATGATGTTTAGTAGTTTTCGGACATTCACAATTGGGGTATTTACTGACGTATTTTAATGTCATAAAACAAAATGTGAAAATGTCTTAAGACAAGAGACATGGAAGTGATACAAATACTAACTCTGTTCTGGGTTTTAACAGTCATTCCTGCACTACCTTACAGTATAACTAATTGTAAAACATTTCATTTCATCAAACAACTCTGATTTTCCAGATCACCCGGCTCTTCCACATACATGTTTTCTGTATTGAGCTGGAAATGAGTAAACACCATGTATGCTTTGAGCCTTACTCAGGCTTCATGCTTGTTATACTTCTGGCCTCAGGATGTATTTGCTCAAACAGACTGTGACCCCCAAACTGCTATTTAGTTCTGCTTTTTAATTAGAATGTATATTAAAGTTTATCGGATCTTCGTTGCTCAGTTGTCTGGTTATTATTATGCATGAGGGCTGAATTAATTATCATTGCTTTGGCTGAACTCAGCATGTCGGCTGTTGTTAGTGGTCTGATCAGTTTCCTCTCTCAGCTGAGGACCATGAAATCCAGGGAAGTAAACACGTTACGCAGCCCACAGTGTTGATGAGAAAGTAAGAAGAAGACTTGTATAGCTGGAAAAAATTAGTTTTGTTATATGTCTTGTAGAAAAGACATGTGATAATATTGGCTCAAAGCTAATGTTTGCGCCTAGCTACTACAGTGCTTTTGTTTTTCTTCTGTATGGTTTTCGTTTATCAAAGCAAATGAAATCAAACTTTATGTATACAGAACTTTTCATACACAAAAGGTATGGAAGAGGATTAGGGCCAGATGTCAAATACAATTGAGATCTAACCAAAAGGGATTTTTTTACCTGATTTATTTTCCATGATTCTGACTTAAAAAAACATTAAAAAAAATGTCACAATTCTGAGATTATAGTCGGAATTCAGATTTTTTCTAATTTAAATGTGGTCAGATCTCCAAAACCATCACATGGGGCCCTAATCCTCTTCAGTACACAAGTAACACAAAGTGCGGTACAACTTTAACTTACGGTATAATGAAAGTATTAATAGACCTGACAGTTCTAGATGGTTCATAGGTTAAAAGCTAATTTGATAAATAGCTAGGACCAAAACCATTAAGAGCTTTAAAAACCAACGGAAGTATTGTAATGATTCATTTAAGGTTAGTTTATTTGTATAGCACACACAGGCAATTCAAAGTGCTTTACAACACGCAATGACACGCTTTGTATTGTAAATACGGTTGATGCTACAAGAGGTGCAGGTGTTAAATCAACTCTGAAAAGCATTGGTAAATATATATGTTTTAGACCCTCCAGAAAAACGCGAGGACAAATCCTTGATTATGCGTGCTAAAATCCTTGATTATGCGGGCTAAATTCCTTGATTGTGCGTGCTAAATTCCTTGATTATGCGGGCTAAATTCCTTGATTATGCGGGCTAAAATCCTTGATTATGCGATTAAACATGCAGGGTTTTTATGTGATTTTATGCGGTGAAATTGCGGGAAGTTGTGAAATATGCGGAAATATGCTAAATATGCGGGAAAAAAGAATAACAATTTTTTAAAATATTGGGCTGTCTTATTTATTCTCTCTCACACACAACCTGCCACTAACGTTAAACACCTTTGCTATTCAATTAAACAAATTCAATGTTTACTTATTGGAAAAGCAATTGGGCTATTTGAATCCCCCCCCCCCACACACACTTCTCCGCCTCATTCTGTTTTCATTTACTCGTTCGTTATCTGGCCAGCTTCAATCTTGTAGGCTACTCACTTCGTTTCTTGTAGCCCTCGAAAGGGTTTTGGAGGTTGATGCCTCCGTGAACTTGAGTCGTTTGGCTTTCTTGTCCG